ATCAACACTCTGACCTCCACTCTTCAACATCCGACGTTCCACCTACACCTCCACCTTTCCACCTCCTGCGCTCACCGGTTAAAACATTCCGACATCCAGTCTCCATCGCAGCATGCCGACATGCAATTTCCAGAATCCAGTTTTCCAGCTACGCCTCCACCGATCGACCTTCAGTGCTCGCCAACTCGACAGTCTAACATCCGACCAGCACCACCAGACCGATCACATCCACCTCAACGCATTCCCCCCCAGCGCCCGGAGAGCAAAGGAGGAGGACGAGGATTTTACAACAACATCGACGGCGATGTCCCAATCAGCACGAGAAGCTGCACCCCACGAGGAAGCGGCAGCAGCGACCACCATGCTTCTTGGCAGGACCTGGGCGCCTGCAACACTGGCTGCAGCCGCATCCTCTTGACTGTCATCCACAGAGACGCTCTCGCTCTGGCCTTTCTCACGATTTGCTCGGGAATCGCGCTGTCGTTCGAGATTTCCTCGTGATGCATGCAGGACTCACGCCTCAGCCGAGGGTTTAGGATATAAGTGTTGAGTGGCACGGGTGCGGGTAGGAGCAAACAGTCGTAGTATTATTGTTGTTGTTGCTGTAGTTGTTGTTGCTGCTGCTGATGCTGCTGCTGTTGTTGTGGTTGAACTTTCATGTTTGATCCCTCCCCGCAGCGCAGAGTATATTTTCCCCATTGAAATGCCCCATCCCAGGCCTCGCCCCTTGCTTTTGATCAAGGGAAGACTTGAGGGTGAAACTGGCCCCCTTACCATCGAGACACAACAACAACGGCTCCCGCCAGATACTTCTTCACAATTTGTTTCAAGATCATGCTCTCGCGTTGAACTTCGTCACAATGTATGCAGGAATCGCGCTCTCGCGTGGGACTTCCTCGCAATTCATTCAGACGCCGCGCCCTCACACTCAGGAGTCGCGCACTCGCGTGGGACTTCCTCACAGCGTATTCAAATGCCACGCTCTCGACGCTCAGGAATCGCGCTCTCGCCCTGGTTTCTTTCGCGATTCACTTGGGAATCGCGCCATCGCTCGAGACCTCCTCGCGATGCACACAGTACCCACGCTTCAGCAACGCGCCTGCTCGACCTGGCCGCGTGGGCCTTCCCTCCAAGCCCGCCCGTTAAGGTCGGCCCGTCTGGTTTTGCCACGTGCTTTCTGCTCCGAGCCCCTCTCCTGCTAATTTCTCACCACCCACCAAACCACCCCAACCCAACCCGAAGGCCTCAAATTGACCTCCATTTCCAGTGGGGGGGGGTCGGGGAACATCGAGAAAACACATATGGAACCCGTACCCCCCCCAACCCGAAATTCGGGTCTTCGGGTTGGGTTGGGGTGGTCTGGTAGGTAGTCAATTTCGCGCTCCATCCTTCCCCCTACCCTTTCCATCCGTCCCCTCCTTCCCTGCCTTAGGGGCTGCCCTAATTTTACGCGGCAGATGCGGAAGATGTACCCCAAGGGGGGCACGATCGAACACGAAAAGGTCGGGTATCTGTTTTTGCTGATATATACATTTTGAATGGCACGCGTGCAGGTAAGCGCGAACAATCTTAGCGTGATTGTTGATGTTGTTGTTGCTGTTGTTGTTGGTGTTGTTGGTGTTGTTCGTGTTTCTGTTGCAGTTGTTGTTGCTGCCGCTGTTGTTGTTGCTGCTGAATCCTCATGTCTGAATGATAATTATTGTTGATCCCCCCCCACCGGTGCATACTTTTTTCTCGATCAAAGTGTGCCCCTCGACGTTCGCACCCTGGTTTTTGACAGGGAAAGTCTTGATGCTCAAACTGTGCCCCCGGCCCCCGGGTTACAACAACAACGGCTCCCGCCTGAGACTTCTTCACAATTCAGTCAGGACCACCGCTCCCGCCCGAGACTTCCTCGCATTTTATTCAGGAATCGCGCTCTCGCTTGGGACTTCCTTACAATTTATTCAAGAATCGCTCTCCCGGCGTTCTGGAGTCCCGCTCTCGCTGGAGACTTGCTTGCAATTTACTAACGAATAGCTCCCTTGCGTTGGAATTTCTTGCAATTTACTCAAGCGCCGCGCTCCCGACACCCAGGCACCCAGGAGTCGCGCTCACGCTTTGGCCTCCCTCACAGATTACCTAGGAATCGGAATCTCGCTTTGTTCGTGGCCCCATTGCAGCCCTTCGTGGCCCTCTCGCTGCCCTTCGTGGCCCCGTTGCAGCCCTTCGTGGCCTCCTCGCTGCCCTTCGTGGCCCCGTTGCAGCCTTCGTGACCCCCTCGCTTTGTTTCGTGGCCCCGTTGCAGCCCTTCGTGACCCCCTCGCTTTGTTTCGTGGCCCCGTTGCAGCCCTTCGTGGCCCCCTCGCTGCCCTTCGTGGCCTCATATATGCATGCCCTTCGTGGCCCCCGCTCGTTCGCGCCCGTGGTGGCCCCATATGCATGCCCTTCGTGGCCCCGCTGTCGCCCTTCGTGGCCCCCTCGGTGCCCTTCGTGGCCGCCCTCAGTGGCCCCTTCCTTGCCCTCCGCGGCCCAAGATACACATGCCCTTCGTGGCCCCCTCTCGTTCGCGCCCGTTGTGGCCCCATGTGCATGCCATTCGTGGCCCCGCTGTCGCCGTTTGTGGCCCCCTCACTGTCCTACGTGGCCCAGTTGCACCCTCAGTGGCCCCATCGTTGCCTTCTGTGGCCCCACATTATCTGCCCTTCGTGGCCCCCGCTCGTTCGCGCTCTTCGTGGCCCCATATACGCATTTCCTTCGTGTCCCCGCTGTCGCCCTTTGTGGCCTACTTCGTGTCCTTCGTGGCCCTGCTGTCGTTCTCTCTCGCTCTCGCTTTCGCTCGTCGTCGTCGTCGCCGTCGTCGTCGTCTTCGCCGTCGTCGTCGCCGTCGTCGTCGTCGTCGTCGTGGTCGGTCCTCTGTCCGTCCCTCTTGGGGTCGGGTCGACGGTCCGCGGCCGCCCCGCCGATCAGCGCTGCCGCTGGCCAGGCCGATGGTCTGCGGCCGCCCCGCCGCTTGCCGGGGCCCGGCCTGCAGGGAAGAAATGTATACCCCCCAAAAGTGTTTCGATCGAAGACGAGGAGGGCGGGTGTCGAGGGTTTGGGAAATACGCGTTATTGGACACTCGAGCAGATAAGGGCGACCAGTCTGAAAATGTTTGTTGTTGTTGTTCAAGATTCACTTCTAGAGAATAGTTATTGTTGATCTCCGGAAACGGTTCCGCGCGCTCTCGGCTCGACGCTGGCTACATTTCCTTTGAAAACGAGGCTCCCGCGCGAGCGTTGGTTTGAGTGTAAATGTGTGCCCTTGGAGGCCCGGCTACGTCGACATCGGCTCCCGCTCGAAACTTCCTCACAATTTACTTCGAGACACCCTGGCCAGGGAGGCCCCCGAACTCAGGAACGGCGCTCTCGCTCGAGACTTCCTCGCAAGTCAGTCAAGTTGGCGGAGGCCCAGCCACGACGACAAAAGGCTCCTGCTCCATATTTCCTCACGATCCACGTGGCTTGCGCCATTCCGCCGATCCCCATAAGGAGTGAGTGTGTGAGACGATGGTGGAAGTTATATCTTGGGTCAGGGGACTCCTGGATACACCTGAGGGTATCTTGTGATGCCTGTCTGGGCCCTCTTGGAGAACTCTTGGGGGCATATGTTTTTTTCTGTGGCTTCTTGGGGGCTTCTTGGGGGGGTCTTGGAGGCCTCTTGGGGCCCCTTGGAGGGGCCTCGGGTGCCCTTTGGGGGGCTCGAGAGGACATCTTGGTTTGAAAGGCTCGAAATGTCAGTTCGTATTCCCCCTCTTGGGCTTTCTTGGGGCCTCTTTGAGCCCTCCAGGGGCTATCTTGGGCCGTCTTGGGGGGCCCCTTGGGCTGTGTTTGGGCCCTCTTGGGCCGTCTTGGGGCCTTCTTGGAGGCATCATTGGCCGTCTTGGGGCAATCTTGGGGGCCAGTTGGGCCGTCGTGTTCGCTGTCAAAACATAGAATTCGAATGTGCTGAGTATGTACGTTTTCCCGATGGAGTGGGACGATTTCGGCCTCTTGGGCTCCTTTCGGCGATCCTCTGGAGGCTCTTTTCGGGTGTCTTGGGGCCCTCGTGGGCCATCTTGAAACCATCTTGGATCGTTGCGGGGCTTCCCTGGGCAGTCGTGGCGCTCTCTTCGACTGTCTTGGATTTACCACCGCCCGCGCGCGCGCATCTTGTGTCTGTTAGAGTTTGCTCGTTGGAGTGGTGTTTAAACATCGCATCCCCAGGGGATGCTGTTTTTTCCCCAATCTGGCTTGCCAAAGGGGTTCTAACTTGGTTGAAGTTTTTTGTGCCTACTCGTGTTACGTTGCCCGTTGCTCAGAGGTTCCCCGGGTTCCCGGGTTCCTCAGGTTCCCGCGCCTCGTTCTGGGTTCCCGTCCACGGGTTCTCCGGATTCGTCGGGCTCCCGGTTCATTTTGTTCACAGCCTCCTCTCCACGGTCTTGTGCCAGCCCAGTCTGTTTCAGCCATGCGCAGAGGGGGGTGAGGGGACGGGGGAGGGCTTCTTAGAAGCACCCCTGCTTTTTAGAAGGCGCGGGCCTTATCTATGGGTGTGAGGCCGGCGCCTTCTAAGAAGCAGCCTCCTTCTAAGAAGCCCTCCCCCCTCCCTCCAACCCCTTGTGCGCGCCGCCAACTGTCTGCGGGGATGGTGTGCACAAGAGGCGTGCTCCCGGACAGGGGGCAGGTCTTCCTCTGGAAGGCGGCGGGGCTTCTCCTCTGCGCAGCCCCGCGGGCTCGAGGCGGCGCCCCCTCCCGGCTTGCTCAACCGAGGGCTCATGGGCCTGTTTTCCACCACCACCACCATAAGTTGGAGAGAAAGGAGGTGCAAGGACGAGGACGAGGAGGACGAATAGGAGGAGGAGAAGGAGGAGGAGGTGGAGGAGGAGGAGGAGGAGGAGGTGGAGGTGGAGGTGGAGGAGGAGGAGGAGGAGGAGGAGGAGGAGGAGGAGGACCCCCTCCCTCTCCACCTTGTGGTGGCGGTGGTGCAAGACAGGCCCATCAAGGGCGGCATGTCGCTGGCGCGGAACGTGGCTCTCCTGCGCAGGCGCGAGCTGCGGGCGAGCACGGCGCAGCACGACGAGGCAGGTGCGGGCTGCGAGCCCAGCGCGAGCACGCAGCCCGTCGCCTCCCTCTTCGACCGCAAGCTGGGCGTCGTGCAGAAGCGCCCCCCGCCCGCGGAGGAGGAGTGCGGCGGCCCCCAGCCGGCGCCCGCAGCCGCCTTCCCCGCGGGGGCGCCGGCGCCGCCCTTCCCCGAGGAGGCGCCTCGAATGGGGCTCGATGTTACAGTGGCCGGGCGTCGCTCGGGCGCGTGCATTTTTTCTCGGCGGCGTGGACCACTGATCGGGGGAGAAAGATACGGGTACGTGTTGTCCCCCTTCGCTTTCGGCCTTTTCCTGGCCCTCCTGGGGAATCCTCGTTGTCACCGCTGGATTCGCCTCGAAATTCTGGCCAGAACGCACCCCAAGAGAGGTCCGGGGACAACACGTATCCGTATCTTTCCGCCCCCCAAATTGAGGGGCATTTTTGATCATTTGGCGAAAAACATGCCCTCACGAAGTCGAACATTTGCACGGGGAAGGGACGTCCGAGCGAGATGGCGAGGTGGGGGCGCGCACCGAGAAGCCGAACGCTTCTCGTCGGGGTGTCCTGGGTTTCTTCGCTCTCCGCGCGCTGCGCGGTGGCTTTCCTGCAGCCGTCGAAGAGGCTGCTGCGTTCAGGCTGCTCCGGGTTTCTTCTCAGATGTACCTCGCGCGCGGGTTTTCAGTGTTTGGTTTCGCGCGAGGGTTTCTCAGGAGGGGAAAAAACACACAGACACAATGATTCGTCGATCCCCCGGAAAATATGGGAAAATATGGGAAGTGGGGGGGAAGACAGAAGCCCAGAAAATATGCGAAAATATATGGGGAATATTTTTATTTGTGTCTATTTATCTGTGTGTCCCAGTTCCCCTTCAGTGTTTGGTTTCGCGCGAGGGTTTCTCGCGGCCGCGCCCGCGCTGTGCACGCACCGTGCCGTCCGGCCGGCCAGGCAGAGCCAACACTCACTCGGCGAGGCAGTCCGGGTGCACGGGCGCTCCAGCGTCCCTCTCGAGGCCTCCCGGAGGGGGTCCGAGTGGATGGGTTCTCGGGGGAGAAAAAGATACGGATACGTGTTGTCCCCCTTCGTTTTCGGCCTCTCCTGGCCCTCCTGGGGAATCCTCGTTGTCACCGCTGGATTCGCCTCGAAATTCTGGCCAGAACGCACCCCAAGAGAGGTCCGGGGACAACACGTATCCGTATCTTTCCGCCCCCCAAGGTTCGGAGGATCGCGCCGCAGGGCCGATGCATCGGCGATGTGCTCCGACGTGAATCATGAATTTCTCAACGCCGGCGTCGCCGATGCATCGCGACGCATCGCCGACGTCGCTGGTGCATCGCTGGCGCATCGTCGATGCATCGGCGATGCATCGGCGATGCGGTGCAATCCCCCGGCCCCATCTATCCGGCCCTTATCCAGAAGGCTTCTAGACCCACAGCCTGAGTGCTGCTGGGGCGCTCGTCCATACAACCACGACTTCCCTCGCCGACCAGGCCAGACTTGGTGTTTGGTGTGTTCTTCGATCCCGCGCTGCTTTGCCTTCTTGGTCCTCCTCCTCATCCGATTCTATAGGCTTACGCCACATCCGCCGACCACTCTGTAAACTACAACTCTATAAACTACTACGCCTCCAGGACTGCATTCCACGAGGCTTGTCCGAATCATGACACGGCGCTGGACATCGTTCTTGTTGCCTCGTTGCTGTGGCCGTTTTTTCCAGGACCCACGCTTCGTCCCGATCCGTTCCTTGGCGGCCCCCGGTGGGCTCCGAGACGGCTTCCCGCTCCCTCGCGGGCCTCTTCGAGGCAGTTTCGAAGGGTCTTGGGGGCTTCTTGGGGCCTCTTGGGTGCCTCAAGGGGGCCTCTTGGGGCTGCTTGGGCGCCTCTTGGGTCTTCGTTGGGCGGAACGCTGGAATTCGCGGTTCGTAGTCCCTCTCTTGGGCCCTTCTTGGGGCCGTCTTGGAGCTCTTTTGGGCCATCTAAGGCGCCTCTTGGGCCACGTTGGAGTTCTTTTGGGTTGTCTTTGGGCCTCCTGGGAGCCTCGTGGGCCGTCTTGTGGTGGTCCTGGGGGCCTCGTGGGTGCCTCGTGGACGGTTTTCAACGCCGTGAAGGCTAACAAGTTGGATATGCCGAACATGCACGTTTTCAAAGGAATTTCAAGATTTTGGTTTCTTGGGGGCTTCTTGGGATGCCTCTTGGACGCTTCGTGGCGTGTCTTGGCGGCCTCTTGGGCCGTTTTGAGCTCATCTTGGGCGTCTTGGAACGATCTTTCGGCGACTTAGGGTTCTCGTGGACCGTCTTGGCGGCTGCTTGGGAGGCGTCGAGTGCTGTCGTGCAGCTCAAGAGCGAGCCCAGGGAGCCCAGACCGCCCCAGGTGAGTTCGGTCCGGGGCCCGCCGGGGCCAGGGGGGGTGTCAAAATCCTGGTTTGGGGTCCCTGGGGGGGGAATGCAGCGAGCGGCTTGAATAAGGGACACTTACTTTTCAAGAGGGGCCCTGTCGTTTTTGACGTTCCTTATGCGTTATGTTTTATTTATCTTTCCTTATGCGTTACTCCTTGGCAAAAAGGGGGCCTCGCTCCTTTTTTACATTTCCTCAGGTCAGGCCGATGACTGTATGGGGGGGGAGACCACCTCACACGCCCGGAGACCCACGAGGGGTTTCGGCGGACTCCTCCGCGCTCCGTCGTCGCCTCCTCTCGCCGCGGGGCTCGCCATTGATGGTACAGTGCCGTTTTTTATACATGCTCCGCGTGCGGACCATGAATTGAAAATGAAGGTTTGATTGATTAATAAATGCAAGGATGAGTTGATGCATTAATTTATACATACATTAAGCATGTATTAAACATCCTATGTTGTTAACAAAAAGTCCGATGTATTAAAAACTGCCCTGTAAAAGGCGCCACCGGCGGCTCCCGCCAGCGAGCCAGCGCAGTGGGCGGGGGCGGCGGTGCTGATGCTCCGCGCGCGGCGGCCCAGCAGGAGCCACGCGGCCGCAGGGGGCGCGCCCGCGGCCGCCGGGGAGCCCGCCGCGGAGGCCGTCGCCGAGCACGCCTTTGCGGCCAGGCCGTCGCCGCGCACGCACGCCCCGTTCGGGTCCTCGGGGCGATCGAAACGGGTCGGAGGGAAAGGTAACCGCCGACGGGCGATGATAAGGTACCCCCCCCCTCTTTCCCTGTGTTTTTTTTGGTCATCCCCGACCACAGGGATCTATCTGTGGGGAAGGTGCGGAGGCCGGACTTTAGAATCCACGGGAAAGTTGCGGGGATCGAAGTTGCTATCGTATCATGTTGTTACCTTCCCCGGGAAAATCCTTTCTTATCCCCGCGGGGACCGCGAACTTTCTTATCCCAGGGGGTTATATTATCGCCCGCACACGGTTACCGATACTGCTGCCCTTCCGCCGCTTTTGCCTCTTTGGGCCTTCTGGGAGGGCCTCCGGAGGACCTCACCGGCCGGGTCGTCTCAGGACGAACAGCCAGTCCGGGAGCAGGGGTCGAGACCTCTGGGGGTCGACGTTGCGAAACAAATCATGATGTCGGGGGTTTGGGGATCAGGGGCAACAATCGCTACCCTTCCGTCGTTAGGGGGCCACATGCGAACCCTACCCCTACACCCACGATTTCTGAGGGGGAGGGTTGGGTTCACTTCATTCGGGAGGTCACGAGCGAAGTGAACCCCACCCTCCCCCTCAAAAATCGTGGGGGGTAGGGGTAGGGTTCGCATGTGGTCCCCTAGTCGTTTCGCCTTTTTGGGCCTCCTGGGAGGCCCTCGTCGCCATCGCCAGATTCGCCTCGGAAACCTGGTCAGAACGCACCCCAGCAGAAGTCCGGGGAGCAGCGGTACTGGTACCTTCTGGTTTCCCCAATTGGTACGGAACGAATGGGGACGAAGACCGACGGCCTTTCTTGTTCACTGTTTGAACAGGACCCGCTGTCGGCGTCGCCGCGGACGTTGCCCATTTTGGACCAGAGGTCGCCTGCCCCACAGCCGCCGCTGCCAGTTCTGAACAAACGCTGTGCTATTGGGCATCGTGCCCGCTTTGCCGCATCCACTGCTCAGGAGGGAAGGTAGACACAGACGAACAAACGTCGATTCCCGCGACAGTCTAGAAGATATAAAAAAAAAACAATTGAGGGGGAGACGAACATCCAGCACGTGTGGGGCAACTCGTGGGGAATCTGGGAGTCCACGTCCCTGCAGTGCCGTTTCTGATGCATGCTCCGCGTGCGGATCATGCATTAAGCAATGCAGGGATGTAGCATGCAAACCAACGATGAGCTCATGCGTAGGTTCATACATACATTAATCATGTGTAAAAAAACGCCTCTTTTTTCTTGAAGAAAAAATAAAAAATCCTATGTATTGAAAAAACTGCCCTGTGTTTGGTCGGTGCCTCCTTGGGGCCCTGCCCCTGCGGGCGCCCGAGAGGTCGGGGGCCCCGCCGTGCCGCTCCTGCTCGGGCGGCCCGGCGCCGTGCCCGCCGGGCGACGCCGCGCCTCCGCCGCCCCCGTGAGCGACGGAAATTCGCCAGCGCGCCAGGGTCGGGAGTTGCCAGAGGTTCGGGGCCGGACGAGGGGGGGATTGGGAAAGGGGGGGGTGCGAAATTTGCTGCATGCAGCTGGTTTCGGCCCCACCGAGGGGCCCATTCCTCGATACATGGCCGCCTCTGGCGCCGGGAGGCGCCGGGAAAATCAGCTACGTGAGCTGATTCTCAACCCCCCCCTTTGCTATCCCCCCATTTCGCCCGACCCGATAGGTCGCTAGAGGTCAAGGGCAGAAAAAACGCCCCTACCCTGGTCTACGAGGCGCTTTGCGCTGAAACTCCAGTGGGCTGACAGGGTAAACCCTGCGTGATGTGCCGCGTCCTGGCGGCTCTAGGCTTTGGGGGTTCCCAGGATTTTTACAGACCCGCACCCGTGAGCGACGGAAATTCGCAAGCGCGCCATTTTCGGGAGTTGCTGGAGGTGCCCCTGGCCCAAGTGGCTGTCGGGGGCGCCCGTCCCTGGGCGGCCGGAAAGTTTTTCGCTGATCAGCCTCAGTTTTTGCTTCTTGGAGCATCGTTTTTTCCAACCGCATGCCTCAGTCACGCATTCGAGCTGACAGTGCGAGACTTCTCGACCGGCCTCGACCCACGCGAGCAGTTGTCCTGTTCGCCTGGTGACGTGCAAGCATGTGCTGTTCCTCATGTGACCTGCAGACCTGCAGGACACTCTTGCTGAATTTATGATTTCGTGATTTTATTGTTTCTTCATCTCTCTCTCTCTCTCTCTCTTTCTGTTTCTATTTCTCTCTCTCTCTCTCTGTCTCAGTCTTTTCTTCTTTCACTCTCTGCCTGTCTCTCTCTCTCTCTCTTTCTCGCCCCCCCTCTGCGGTTCTAGTCCATATTATCGAGGCGAGCTGCCTCGATCAGGGAAGTGCAGGAGCAGGTATGGGGGGTTGGCGCTGACATGGGCTTCCGTTTTTCGCTTTGTCGCCGCCCGTAGCGGCGTAAGTCTGGCCCGTCCGCTGGCATGCTTTTCTGGGCTCCCAGATGCGCTCAGGTTTCTCGTAGAAGGGAGCCACGTGATGCCATGTAGGCCCGCGCGTGTAGTTCACCCCGTCCGTGTGCGGCGTAGGCTAAAACGCCAGCAGTAACAATCCCAGTGTACCGAGACTCTCTCTCGTTCGTTCTTTCTTTCTTTCTTTCTTTCTCTCTCTCTCTCTCTCTCTCTCTCTCGAATGCGAACATCCTTCGAAGGTCGGTGGACAATCAATGATTTTGGCTTCTTCGGGTCCCACTGGGTGTCCTCTTGTGGCCCTTTGGCCCTTTTAGGCTCTCGTTGAGGCACCTTTAGCCGTCTTGAGGCCATATTTTTGCCGCCTTGGGGCCATCTTGGGCCGTCTTCGAGGCATACTGGGCCATCTTGGTTGCCTTGGTTGTCTGTCTTGGCCGTCTTGGGAGCTCGGGATGCGGGCTCTTCGCTTTTGATTTATATTACAGCGGATCGTTGACTCGGGTGCGCGGATCCGTATTGTTGTTGATTATGGATCGTGGCCTCGGCAAGAGGGGGATGCATGGGAGGGGACGCTACCAGATGTTTTCCCCGCAGAGGAATTCATAACCTTACATACCAGACATCACTTAGACTTCTACTTCTGCCACGCCTCCATGTGGCAGGGGCACGGCGGCGGATTACGGGAAGCGCCCTCAGATTCGAAGAGTCGCGCGTTGGACGTTGCTGTCGACCCAGGAGGTTGAAGCAAGAGAAAGAAGAGTATCTATCAATTGGTGTGGTCCAGAGGGGGGAGGCTCCATGTTGCTCCTCCGTCCGCACCTGCCGGATGACGGGAAGCGCGCTTAGACTCGAAGAGTCGCGCGATGGAGGTTGCTATCGACCTGGGAGGGGCATATTTTTTATCTGGGGAGGTGCAGGAGGGGAAGGGTTCGGGGGGTCCAGGGGGGGAAGGCTTCATGTTGCTCCTCCGTCCGCACCTGCCGGATGACGGGAAGCGAGCTCAGACGCGAAGAGCCGCGCGATGGACGTTGCTATCGACCCGGGAGGGGCATATCTTTCATCTGGGGAGGTGCAGAAGGGGAAGGGTTCGGCGCTTCTTCTTTGTGCAAGCCTGGCGGATGACGGGAAGCGCGCTCAGTCTCGAAGAGTTGCGCGATGGACGTTGCTATCAACACGGGAGGGTGAAGTAAGATAATCATAGTTTCATCCGGGGGGTCCAGTGGAAGAAGGGTTCGGGATCGCTCCGTGGTCCAAGACCTGGCGGATGCAGCTGCTCTGCTGTGTATGAAATGTCCTGGCTGGCCGGGATCACTGTGTCGACAGTCGTTCGACCAGAGGGTCGTTCTTTGTCAGGCGACGTGTCCATCAGGGGATGGACGCCTCGCGTGATGCGTATGAGTACGCACACGTGCGCTGGCCTCTCTTGCCACACGGGACAATGTACTCACCACGGTGGTGCCCCAATACGGACGTTTGGCTCGAGTCCTTTGCAGATGGTTCATACTATTGTCCCCGCTGTGATTGTACTTTCTAAACGGCGCCTGTCGGCGCGTACTAAGTGCATCTTCGACGACGTGGATTTCCAGACCATTTCACGAACGAAGTCTACACTGTATCGGAAGGCACGCATCGCGTTCACAATGTGGCAAATATTGGACAATTACTCGTCTCGGCGGTGCGGCTTCAATTCGGTCAACCTGCGCTGTTTTGAGGCGGACTACGGATCACAGCTCAGTGATCTCAGGGTGCGCGCGAACGGACAGTTGACTCCGTGGGCTACGGCGACCCGCAACGTCCTCCGCTCCAGTCGTGCCAAGTGATGCACCGACCATCATTTTGTTCAGTTTTGTGTTTTTCCAACGCCTGTGCTTGTCTTCCCTGTCTCAATCCCTAGGCCCGCTGCTTGGTGACTTTGAGTATGGCTCGGCCTGCAGCCGCAGACAGGTGACTTGAGCATGGCTCGGCCTGTCTGTCTGCCGCCACTCCGCATCCCACGTCGAGTGTTGCCGACTTCGCCTGACTGGTGAGGGCGGCTTTTGTGGCACTGCACGATGCTTATCCTGCACGCTGCGCGTTGCGACGTTTGAATCCACGGCCTGCCACCAGCGCTCGGCCAGACGGCCGTATTCTGTCGCGCGGGCCTTCCACCAGAGGGTGGTAGCCTCGTATCTGACGTATGCGGATGCGCGTACGCGCTAGTCGGTCCTGTGGCTGGCTACGTGGGAGCTCGCGAGACTTCTTAGACTTGGGTTGCGTCTTCAAAAAATACGCATTCTCGGAACGAGAAGGTGATGGGAACAGGCTCGCCTTTATGGGAGGGACAACCTGGCTCGCGGGCGCAACTGCCCATCGTTTGGCGAATTGCGCGAAACTCCTTCCTGGGACGAGAAGGTGATGGGAATTCGTTAGAGGGAGTTGAATAAGGAATCCATGCATTACGAACTCGCGAAAAAAACCCTTGGCTAAAACATTGTAATAAGATGTTGGTCGCCCAGCGGGCACTCCCCAAAAATGGCCCTTTCGCTTGAGATGTATTCGAAACGCTGGGATATTGCAGTCGTATGTTTGACACGCCTTTCGCTAACACATGGGGCTCGCCCGAGGCATCTTCGAAACAATGAGGACGAGGAGGAGGAGGAAATGGAGGAGGAGGAGGAGGAAACGGAGGAGGAGGAGGAGGAGGGAGGGGAGGAGGAGGAGGAGGAGGAAGAGGAGGGGGAGGAGGAGGAGAAAGCGGATATCGAAGAGGCGGAGGAGGAGGAGGGAGGAGGAGGAGGAGGAGGAGGAGGAGGAGGAGAGGAGGAGGAGGAGGAGGAGGAGGAGGAGGAGGAGGAGGAGGAGGAGGAGAGGAGGGAAGAGGAGGAGAGAAGGAGGAAGGGAGGAGGGAGGAGGAGGAGGAGGAGGAGGAGGAGGAGGAGGAGGAGGAGGAGGAGGAGAGGAGGAGGAGGAGCACAACACGCTCCCAGCGCATGAGTGCCTATATAGAGCATGCGCCACGTAAGCAATACACCACCCACACTAAACACAAAGTGTACGCACACCTTGCGCCCCCCCCCCCCGCCCGCCCGCCAGGCACACACCACACCCCCCCACCCGGCCGCCAGGCACACGCCCCGTACGCGCACCGTGCACCCCCTCCCCCCGCCCCTCTGGCACAGACCCTGTGCACGGTCGCGCACATGCGCGCACACACGCACACAGCCGCACACACAGGCACACACAGGCACACACACAAACACACGTACACACATGCACATGCACATACGCACACAAGCATAGGCCACGCACAACACCTGACCAAGGCAACCGCAGGCAACCAGTAAACACGAGCTACCACCGGCGACCATCTGAGCATCCAGGGGAGCCCGGCGACTGCATCCATGTGCACGCATGCGCGTTGGTTGCAAATCCGTGTGCGCGCGCGCACGCACGCTCAGAGAAGTTGGCCGTTTCGCTCGAGAAGCTGGCCGTTTCGCTGGACAACAATTCGAAGAACTTGTTTTGAGATGTCGAGGCTCGAGCATGGTGATTTCGCTCGAGACATCCTCATACGATTGAAATGTCGAGTGCGCCGCTTCGTCTTGGACCGCTCCCAGAGGGCTTCACAATGGCTGAAGGCAGGTCCAAGGACCCCAAAAACGTCCAAGCACACCCCAAGCAGCCCTCCATCCTTTTCACCATCATTCCAAGCATGATCGTGATCACGAGAATGATTATCATCACAATCATCATCATCATCAGCATCATCATCATCATCTTCATACTCACCACCAAACACTAGCAGCGTCATCGTCATCGCCACTATCATGGACATGATCAGTGTCATCGCCATCGTCATCGTCATCGTCAGTGTCGTCGCCATCGTTGATTGCCACACGGCTTAATACACGACGCATGCAAAACACAGAACACATGACACCCCCGCGCACGCAAATTGCTATATAGAGATGTGCACCACGCGGAGGCCATACTCATGCGGGACATCCCCCCGCCCGTCCCCCCCAGAACACATCCCGCA